ATGAGGCCCAGTGTCTCTCCACGGATTCGGGCTGCTCCAGAAGCCACCTCTCGGATCTGCTCCACACTCTGTACCCGTGTGCCTTCCCGTAGTGCCTGGTACAGCCACGTGTTCCGCCGGTACAGATTGAGGATGTGGCAAATGGTGGAATCGGCTGTCTCTTCCACAGCTGCAGATGGGATGTTGCATACCGCGATCCCCAGCTCTCCAGCAGCCTTGATGTCCACGTTGTCATAGCCACTGCCAATTCGCACAATCACTCTCAACGCCTTGAACTTTTCCAGGTCCTCCCTGGTGAGGGTGATGGTGTGGTACATCATGGCACCCACCGCCTCGTTTAATACCTTTTCGTGGATCTCCTGCGTGGACTGCGCATCACAGAAGGCCACCGTGGCCAGATCCTTCAGGATGGGCATCTCCACAGTGCAGTCTCTGCCATCTAGCAGCGCCACCAGGGGGCGAGGGTGCAGGGGGCCGTTCATGATCTGGGGGCGGATACCTTCACAAATTCTGTCCAATCGCTGTCGCTTGACTCTGTGCTTATCCACAAGGGCCATTCTTTATCGAACTTTGCAACTCTCTGATTCAAAAGGCAAAGCAGTCCTCTAAGAACTTAAGGGAACTCGCAGGAGTCTGCGTGCATTACGCCACTATGAACCCAATATTAATCTGTCCGCAAACTAAGGTTCACACGATGGGCAGTCCGTCTTTTTTAAGGGGATACAGCTTCATTGGTTCAAAACCATCTAAGGTGATAAAGCCCTCGTCCAGGGCCGCCGGCGTCCACGGCGAAGGGCGCCCACCCGGGAGGCGGCGGCGGCGGCTCCCGCCCCTCCCACCCCACCCGGCGGCGGTGGCGGTGGCGGTGGCTTGCAGCCCCCCCTCAGCGCGGCATGGCTCCCGGCTCCGTCCCTCGCTCCTCTGGCCGCCGCCGGCTCCTCCGGGTTGCTCCCGAGCCACCTTAAAATGACACAGCTTCTCTGAGCTTTTAAGTAACATAAAGTCATCTTTTAGGTCACAGGTGTTTAAAAACAAAAGTTTTAAGTTAAAAATAAAAAGGTCACCCCTTTCCTTTTTTTTACATTCTTCTTATATTTAGCTTAATCTTAATTAAGGGCCGGCCAAATAGCTCAGCAGATTAAAGCACCTGTAAGCAGGCATAGGGGCTGGGGGTTCAATCCCTGGGCCTGCTGTGCTGGCCTCACCCCTGGGTTGTGCTGAGACAGCAATTGAGACGGCGTGGTGGCGCACACCTGTAATCCCAGTTCTTGGGAGGCTGTAAATAGGCAGATCACTATGAGTCCGATCTAGTAGTGAGACCCTGAACACCCTGTAGACCCTTCCCTAAAATACAAAAAAAAAAAAAAAAAAAAAAAAATTAATTTGGGAGCTAGTGTTACTGGGTTTTGGGGTGCTGGAGCCTCCTTCTGGAGATGATTTCTAGGTTCTTTCTATACTGAACCAAGAACTGGTGAAGACAAGCACTCACAGTACCAACGTTTTATTAAAGGTAGGAAAAGAAACAGGCTCTGCAGAGAGGGTTTGGGCCAAATAAGAGTAAGACAAGAAATGTACCCTGCATTGTGAGGGCAGCCACCCTGCAAGACAGACTCAGCGTCCAAGATTTGGGTCGCCCTATCACAAGCCTGCTTGAGTTCTCGCAAGAAGTCCTCCTGCAGGGCTCTGGGAACCGTTCTGGTTGTGCGTTTTAGGCATGCCTCCTTTCCCAGTCGGTTTGAGCCACATTGTTCCTTCCCAGTGGTGTAGCTCAGTCATCAAGCACATGCCTCCTACCAAAGATGAGGCCCTGGGTTCAATTTCCGGCACCCAAGGGAACTTAATAAAAGCCTGGCATACCTTTATACTTCCTTTCATTACCAAATTCTGTGGAGCCATGTAATTCCCAAATAACAGTGAACTGACTGTGTCCTAGATAAGTTTAAGGAAGTAAATTTCCCTAGACCATGGGGATAGACTCAGGAGTGAGGCTCGAATTCAACAGAGCAAGAATAAAGATAATTAGAATGCCCCAACGAAGAACGTATTTTCAGTCTATCAGAGCGGTGGCTGTTATACCATAGTATGATTAATGTAAACCTAAAATGCTAAATGCTGAAATAATGAGTTTTTCTTTTACTTACTGCCTCTGGCTGTCTTCTGGTCAAATTCTGAGAAACTCTTTTGGATGGCTCCTAGCATGACCCTTGGGGAAATCCCAAGACCTTGTTTTCGTTCATTGTACTGCTTAAGGACAAAGTCCACTGCTGACCCTCCCTACCTTCTACCTAAAGGTTTCATTATTATTATTATTATTATTATTATTATATTTT